GTTGGTGTTCACCCTCGGATTCGCTTGTTCAGAAGCGAACAGTCAATCAATTCCCCAGGGCATTGACCAAGATCGCCCGAAAACAACCCCAAAACCAGGTCGAACGCCTGCATGAAAGACACCGGAAAACACATTTAAAACCATTCTAACTCTAACCCGTTTTTGTTCTCTTTTCCGGAGTCGTTCTCACCAGACCACGACGTCGGGTGTCGATCCCCACCTCTCTTCCAGCTCAAAGACATGGACGAGCTCGTCCACGGCATCGCGATCCGTTAAGTTCCAAGAACCTCCAAAGGAATCGCGTCCGGCAAGACCAATCAAACAGATAAGAGCGGTGTGGGCGTTGGACACGACCCATCACCCTGTGATCAACATGTTCGGAGGTACAAGCACTATATACTATATATGGACATACCGAACTCACTGCCGCAACATGCACAAAAGCTCCAGCACCCCAATAGTGCAACCCTCCTCCCCCTGCCCCACGCACCGCAGTGTGGTTTTTCACTTTTGATCGCCACCGATGTTGCATCTCTACAAATGCCACCGTGTTGACCACACGCATGACTTGACAAGCGTGTTCCACGCCGCGCTCGCCGTGTTTGCGGGCTGTGCGCATTTTTGGCGGCAAGCTGGCGGGCGGGCGGCCGATGGCTTTTCAAGCGCGCCCAGTGCAGCGCGCTGATGGTTGGTGGAGGCGCATGCATGACATGCACATCTATCCTGTACCCTCCCATGTAGCTGATCCCAGCCAGATTGCAAAACTTGTAGTGTTTGGCGATGGTTTGCCTTGTCAATCAGGAGATCTTGTGTCCAGGTACTACATGGTACTACCAGTATCTAGCTTGGATAGAGAAACTCTCGCTTGAGGATTGAAGTACCCGGACTCTTTGAACCGATCCAAGGCCATTCAGCGCAGCATGCGCATGCTGCGCTGAGGCGCTGAGTGTTCATTTTTGTGTTCTGAGAGATCCGCTCGGGCAAGAAACCACACTACAAAAAAAAAACACATGAACCCACTTGAAACAAAAGACACACACCACGAAGAGAACAACGTTATGCATGAAATTTGACAAACATAGCTGCTTAACTACACGTATATTTTTCCGAACGGAGTGGCAACTCTGTCATGTTCCAAGAAAGCATCAAATGGTTTCAGCATTGGAGGTGATGTTTCCTTGCCTTCCGGCCCTAAAAACCTTCTTTGTCTTTGTGTCTTCTTTCAAAGGTCAGCAAGTGGTGCTGATCAGATCTGACATCACCCTTCGCCAGGTCACTCAGATCACTGAACTGAGAACTCTTCCATCCTCATTCCAAAGCATCAGAATTTACACATGCAAAAATCCTATTCAGTTCTGAAGATTGAGCCTATTTGATTGTTCCGTCTATTTCTTTTTATCTATCATATTTTGGCAGGATTACCTGTAAAAAACTTATGATTACCCAAATATGATAAGAGATATAACCACATAAATATAACAATAATCCCTGATAGAACCATCAAAATGAATGACAGAAATTGACTATATAGTTTTGATAGGATTTATGGGATTATAGCTGTGGAGCGGTCCTTTCTTCTCTCTAATTCTTGGTCCACAGCCTATGGGATTTATTGTAACCTTCTTTTCTATGTTGCTCACATGGAATTTCTTAATGAACGAGAAAACATGTTAAAATCTTATCCTTTTTGTAATTTATTATGTTGTTTCTTTATGGCCTCTTTTTTACCTTTTTGGAGAATGCACTGATATTCATCTTCCGACCTCTATCTGGCATGTGCTTTGCGGAGACCATTTCCTCCAACGTCCTGGACCTCTTGTGCTACGTCCTGGTGCTGCCTGGCATAGGAGCTCCTGCCACAGGAGGGTACAGTGTACTGGCAAAGGTTGATCACCAGCCTCTGTAGTGGCACCGAATGTCCGGCAGCTGCTTCAGGTTGACCCAGAATCGCTGAATCGCTGCGGTGGGCTTATTGATGGTCAAAGCAAGGATACAACAGTCATGATGTATTCATTTGGGATGTCAACACATGCAAGAAAGGTCTGGAAACAAAAGTTATCCCGGCAAGGGAACCCAAACTGTGGTAGTGCCGGTCGTGTTGACGACTTCACAAGGGGAGAGTTTCCCAACAAGTTTCCGCACCCTAGAGAACGTGAAAGAGCGCAGGCATGCACATCTGTTATCACACGTATAGTGGATCACACATGTGAGATCACACAAATGATAACAAAAATACGAGACCACACTTATGAGAGCGCAAATGAGAGCACACTCTCAGAACAAAATACGTATGGTCAGAACGCCACATGCCCTGAAGAAACCTCGGTACAGAAAGCAACTTAAGTATATAATGCAGCAGGTCCAACCATCCTCAAGGTCCAAAGGCCACGAAGAAAGCAAAGTCCCAACAACACTCCATTAAACAAATGTCAGTCGGATCCCACGTTTCAAGAAGTAGTGCGTGTCTGTCAAGCTCCAACCGAAGGCCAATGATTTGTTGCAAACGGGATGTATTTTTCAAGTGTAGAGACAAGCCTTCCGGAGAAAGAAGGTAGTGCAAGCCGCGAGTAAATCATATTATTGAGGCGGTCCACAGTGTAAGACTGGGTCGAAACAGTATGCTTTGTAACCAGGTCAAACGAACGAACATATTTCGGCACATCCTCAAGCGTAGCACAAGGGGAGGAAGTATAGACCGGCGCATGTGGTGGAATCGGTATGCGCACAGCCATAGCCGGCCGCATGGTGGCACAGGAAAGAAGTGAGCAAAAGAAGATGAAAACCTGACAGGACGCGGAAGGGCAAAGAGGACATTCACATGTAGGATGAACAGTCAAATAACAAGTGACATGGACAAAGTAGTTGTGTGTAAATCACACACACACACATCAAAACACATGGGAGCACGCCTATGTGAGCACACCAAGTGCACACATATGACTATCATATGACAGCATAGGTCAAAAAGAAGACAGAATAAGAAAGGCACACGTGAGAGCACATACATCAGGCCACAGTTTGAGAGAACCGTGAGAGTACACAAAGGAGTGGAGCAAACACAGTGGAGTAGACATGTGAGAGAGCACGCATGAGAGCACAAACAAATGAAAGCACACAAATGAGAGCACACAATATGTGAGCCCCTCACAAAAGCTGCACTTTGCAGTCCACCAAGGGCCGCGGCTGCTTTCGTTCCTCTGCACTTCGAGGCACTTGGTGGTTGGTCAACAAGTCCGGACATGTGCACAGCACCGCAATGAGAGCGCCGTCAAGGAAAGCACCCGCTCCGACCCACCAGTTTACGCGAGCTTGCGCAGTCGAAATGCACTTGGAAGATCTCGAGAGGCATGAATTAATTGTAACTGGCCGCAAAAAAGCCGCCCACGCCTGGTGACCACGGATCAAACCCAGCCTTAACCACCGACCGAACCCCTAATGAGACCACACTGTTTGGGTAAGAAGAACGTGCTTCGTCGGGTCATCCTCCAGTTCCGACGGTGCTTTCGGGTCCATCTGAGGCTAAACATCTTCGGCCACAAATCCCAATGTTCCTCTCAGTACGGATCCCTTTGGAGAAGTTTTACCCCCGACGGGATCTCAGGATCGTATAGTGCTTGCAAGCAACGGAGCGCCAGAAATGAAGGATACTAGCACACCAGGGGAAGGATGTGTGTTGCTAGGCTCCCTAGTGATCTTGGAGTTTGAGGAACCTGAACGAAACATAACAAAACAACATGGCGATTCACTGATTCACCCAGCAACATCCGAGATTGCGCCATCAGCAACAACCAAATGCTTCTTTCAACTCGCCCCCCAGTCCCCCCTGGTCCAACGGGGATGCTAATCCGCAATGATGGTGGATACTGGTGAACATGAACACAAACAAATAAACCAGGGGTGTTCATGCCAAACGTCAAACACATCGGAATCGTTGCTACTGGATGAAGTCCTGCCGTCCAGAGTCCAAACAAATGTCACACGTGGTGAACCCTGGTTGTAAGGGTTTTCCATGGATATGTCCACCCAAATGAGCACTTGAGACAGGTACCGGACCTCCATCGCTGTCCAGCACATCTGGAGGTCGCGACCTCCAATGTAAACGTGGATAATGAACAAGAGACCTTAGCTTTGTAGGATCCCCAACCATCCATGGGACTGGAAGACTTGCCTACGTTGTCCCTTAAAACGTTTGAGCACCACCCTAAGGTAGGGGTAAATCTTCCATGTACATGGATTGTTTGGGGATGTTCACCCACGTGCTATTGAGTTTTGAGCTATTTTGAGCTTCTTCGTTCCAATTACCGCTTTCTAGGCTAGGAACCGTCGAGAAGGTCCTTGCATGTCCTTGCGACTACCTGGACCCTCCAAAGTATCCCCCCAAATAGGTACAAGTACCTGTTTTAATAGGGTCATGCCGCATGCCGAGTTTTTCTAGGGTACTTTGCAGTGTCTATAGATACTTGAGTAGCTCCATCCTCAGCCTCTCCGTTCTGGCGTCGCTTGCGGCCACTGGATCCTCTGGCAGGCTATACTGTACAGACTGTTCTGGTGACAGGAGATACGCAAAAATCATCTCAAATGGCGCAAGGAAAGCAAGGAAAGTAAGGTTCAGCCGCCCACGTGAAATGGTGGACACTTTCACTGGGCAATGGTACATCTATGTCGATGCTTGAACATCAGCAATGTATCATTCCAGTGAGGTGCACATGAAGACTCCAACAATGAGGGACTCCTGGTCTCAAAAAAACATCAACACGTGAGAGGACATCCTAGGACCCAGGAATGACCAGTGACCATATTCTCTCGGGAGAAGTCTGATTCAAAGCCCGCCAAAAGTCTGGAACGACTCATACAGTGTTTTTGTTCCCCTGTCGACGTGTAGTTCCTGTGAGTTGAAAGGGTCATTCTGTCTATGGACCACACGGATGGAAAATGCCGCGATTCAGGACTCATCGGCTTGACCCGTGAGGTCATTCTTACAAACAAGTGGGATACCCACGAGGCGTCTAGCAGCTAGCACTTGTTACTTTCCCTGACGATTCGTGCCCCGGTCATCTTGCACCGCCGACCTTTGCGGTGATTTTGTACCTGAGCAAACAGCTTGTATCCCCCAGGACTTCGAGAGCATGGTGATCTGAAGATGCTCCCGAGGAGATGCTCCACCCCTCCCAAAACAAGACCACGCCACAAATTGCACACCCCCAGCCTTCAGAACCCTTCAGAATGGCGGAAACACCCAAGCCCAGAAACATCAGATGTCACATTCCCCATTCAGCGCCGACATCTTCAAGGTGTCTCTCATCACCCTCATCTTCGGTGGATCCATGGATTCGAGATCGAACACCGGTCACCGGTGTCGCAAACGAGTTGGTCGAGACGGGTCACCACACGCGTCCACCCGCCAGCACGGCACCTGAGAGTGTTTTCCGTTTCACCACGAAGTACCCAGTGGAGGTATCCAGATGTTGAGATCGTGTCACACGCTTCCTTTTTTGGACGACGGATACATATTTTTTTCAACAGACGTCCCAACAGACGTTTCTATTTGGGGTCTTGTCTTCGAGGGAAAAACCACTTGGAGGACCTTCGTCTCGTAGGGCGTAGCCGGGCGTAGCATGCATCATCTTTGTTGATGTCCTCCAAAAAGGTGTTAATGTCCGGCACATGTCCAAGCCAAGCATCTACAAACCAATGAACAAGCGAATGAATTCTCGGTCCACCAATACGTCTAAACATGTCTAAACCAAATTACCTTTTTCTAGATTGCAAGTGGTTCAAGTTGATGATGGTGAATAACTACTTTTGGACTGGAACTGTGAATGGGACACTTCTGGCTGAACCCAAAGACTGTGTAGATCAACGTCCATAGGAAGACCAATTCGAGAGTAGGGTAAATGCAATGTCATGTCATGTTTTTAGAACTAGTTGTCATGTCATGTTTAAACAAGTCTTGACCCGCCCGAGTGGCAAGGGTTCCTCGCTGCTTGCCATCTCAGCTGGCCTCAGGAATGTTCGTTTGAGCGAGCGCTTTTCTTTTAAGGCAGATGAACACATAGGCACTCCCGAACAGGTGATTTGATGTTTTTTGGCGAGCGAAACGGTTGTTGTCAAGAAGATAGAACATGAACAACAAAGCCAAACATTGACCAGGAACAAACAGTTGGCGACTAAGACCTGCACTACCGAACGTAAGACCATGCATCCTGCAGACTTCAGACTGTTCAGCAATCCACATGGATGTGTTTCTCTTTACAAAAGCGAACATGGTCCAAGCAACAGTCAGCTGTTCAACAAGACCTCACATTCAGCGACTCTCCAGGCTATACATAAAAACCTACCAACGTGGGGTTGAAAAGGAGTTGGGAAGTGAAGTAGTGCCTCTCCACCTCGTTCGACCTCCTCTTTGGACCCCCGAAATCAGTTCCATTTCGGGTTCCCATACTTTGCAGGGTGGTATATACATCATAAATTGTGATATTTGACTCCCAGGAATAACACACACCCAAACCTATTTGGTCTGTGCACCACACAATACTCGGACTTCCATGCTTTGATGTACTAGTCGACTCTATTTTGCCTCTCGTGGAACACCAAAGTACTAAGTGCTTTCCCAAGAGACGAGGCTTTCCACAAATCTCCAGCAGCTATAGCCTGGAGATCACCGCCAGCAAAAAGCAGCGTCGTCGTCACCGCGTGAAGAAAGTCATCCAGCCGCCAATCTGGTGTCTTTCATGAAGGAATCAACACCAGTACCCTGTCCACAATGGTAGCTGAATGTACTTGGACTATCTTGGAACCTGTGATTGCCATCATACAAAACGGATGAAAACGCCTAGGCAAAAGCATCCAAAACGCCTCCTCTGATCATGCAACACGTTTCAAAACAATCCGATGGCTGTCAGAAGTCAGCCACACACCACAGTGGCGCGGTGTGGCCGGCACGGTGGCGCGGTGTGGTGGTTGTATCGTAATTGACCATGCACGGCCTGAACATCGTCCCAAATTCGAAAGTTCCAGAGCCAACATCGCGGGGGGAGAAGACGAAACGCCCAGCAAACAGGGCTGTCTTTGGCACAAGAGATCTCGAGGGTGTGTTTCTTCTATCCTTTTCGTTCTGCCTTCAGGTGTTGTCACCTAACAAACCAATGTGCTAGTTGTTGAAATTGTGATATTGCAATTTCCTTCAGGATAGTGTCTCTCTAAAAGCACTTTGTTGCCAACTGTTGCATTTGTAAAACAGCCTGGTCTGAAAACAAGTTCAAGAGAGATGATAGTCATTTGGTTTAGAGTACATGGGGATAACACTGGCTTACTTCATCACGCTTTGACACTACACCCACTCGTTTAAAACAACATATGGCCTTCCAAAACAGGCCTCATGTTCACCGTCTCTCCTCAGCGTTTACCAAGCAAAAACCATCCTTCCAGAGTCTGGAGGAGACAACGAGAAGCATCCTCTGCCATGCTCTGCCATCCCTTGACCCAGTGTCCTTCCGTCGACCTCAAAACCTTGGGCAAACAAAAATTGTCCCTCTTTTTTGGAGGTGATGAAGTAACTCATGGAGTGAGTAACCGGAGTCATGCAAACTACGACCCTGGGATTCCCGGGCTGGGTCACGGTGGTAAGGAGCCCAACCAACAGAGGTTACTAATGGTTACTACGTGACCTGAAAATGGATCCGTTTATTTGGTGTATATTTATAGTTGTGTGTTAATCCAACTGCAAATGTATATAATTAGAGCCCTTCAGCCTTGGACTTTCTTCCACCTGTTCTCCGAACGCTCGGCGTCGACCGCGTCCGGATCTCCGTGGTGAAACGGGCACGACCCAGCGGTGACCCGCGCCTTCGCTGGCCCGGGAGCTCTGGATGCCTAGACCGCAGGGTCCGACCCCAAAAGGGGGAGGGCGTGGTGGAGAAAAGGACGGAAAGAGACCGAGGACGGGCGTCGTTTGGAATTGGAAGGCGCAGAAGTCTGATTCCCTGCGCGCCAGATAGGTCTATCATCACATGCATGGCTGGTATCAAAAAAATGGTCATAATGGTTGTTTGTTTCAGGACAACACCCTTATATAATTCTTATATATATATATATATATCCACACCTCGAGTTTTTCGCGTGGGCAAGGCCACAGAACCGCTGCGGCAGCTGAACAGAACTATGCAGCTGAACACATAGGGTAGTTGATCATATATGCTACTTCGCGGATGGTTTTAACAACATCTGAAAGACTGTTTTATCTAAAACTCCTTACACGGGGTTTTAGATCAACTCCCATATATTATATAATCATCTGGGCCTTGCTCGCGCGTCCAAAGCTCGCAGCGGCCGGAGCTCGTGTGGTACTCCACTCCTGCAGGAGGGAGCAAGAGAGGTTAAGTGGCCTTATAGGACCCTACTAACACATGGTGGGTGCATAAAGTTCATATTTTCTGCCTCATGGCCAGGAAAAACATATCTAGCCAGCACGTTCTTCAACCTTTGCAAGGACCGGGGTTTGCTGAGGGACGGTCGATCCGGGGATGGTTCGATGAGCTTTTCCAGGAACAAAGCCTAGAAGCCACAAGACCTGACGTGATTCGATCAAAGCTAGCTGAGAACACACGCAAGCCATCGACTGAAGTCATAAATGTCTTCAATTCAAAACCAACAGATACCAAAAGTATATCCCAACCAAACGAGCCGTATAGGATTTTTGATGCCATCCCAATGAACCTACCTCTCTGAAGGGAAGAACAAACACGACAGATTCTCCCAGTCGGTTGGTGTAGTCCGCCGTCTTCCTGGTGAGGAACCTTGATGAACCAAGTCTTGCCTTAGGAATTCCATTGTTCATTCATATCGTTTTCCATTTCCATGAACCTTGGGTGTGTTGAGAGCCAACTTCAACGTCCCAAAGGGGGCAAACCGCCATGCGTCCCTGTTCAAATGCGGTCACCGCCTTGGAACATGAGCCACGCCTTCTCATTCGATCTTCACTTCCCACCCCTTGGTTTGTATGTCGGTCCCTCGGTCCTTTGCAGTTGCTGGTTGTCTGGCAGAGCTCTTGGCAGGACAACAACGATGCAGCGTTGCTCACCGTGAAGTAGCTGCTCAAGTTGTCCGACGGACCTCAAGTTGTCCGAGGTTTCAGAAAGCTCAGCTGGCGGGTGAGAACGGGTGTGACCTGTTGAGGGTCTTCAAGTCCCAAACCAGGTTTTGTTCAATAAACATCTCTTGTGCATAACTCCTGGTGCAAATTGTATTATAGTCACTGATATCATGATCAATCAATTGGTTCAACAAAGTCGGAGGCTTCCAAGTATTTTTTTATCTCTCGTGTTCCGAGTCTAGTTATCTGAAAAAACATCCACATGAAGAAAAACAAACGGCCCAAACAGTTGGAGACCTCCCATGGTTGCGACCCGAGTTCCGGCTCCTTGCTATATATATATATATATATACACATACCAGGACCATCCTGTCTGGGTGTCCTGTCTGGAGATCCCGGATAGTAGTGTAGAGTAGTCCATTGGATACCTGTTGGATGGTCCTGGTATATATAATATATGAATTACTATAGTATATATATATATATATATACTACGGGCTCCTTAGATCGCTCCCTCCTGAGCAAAAACGAGTAACCCTGGCTCTCTCACATCGAACTTCAATTTTGCTGCATGACAAGGAAAAACGTGCTCCCTCAGAATGGAATTGACCCGTAAGGACAAAGCAGGCTTATAAGCAAAACCATAATTCTGTCCAATTTTAAAAAAACATGATACAGAACGTCAACAATACAAAAAAACGTCTGTACTACAGTAATCCAGGACTTTGGGATGGATATGTAGGTAGAAGAACGGTTCCCTCAACTAACCGGTCAGGCCTTCTTCCAAGACCATGAACAGAATTTGTGTGGTGTAAAACCCTTAGTAAAACATGGAGAAACAAAAGGTTCTTCTGGTTTCAAACCATTAAAAGGAATGGTGGAACAGTGGGCCAGGGACCCTAGGATTCAATCAGTGAATTCATGAAATCAACACCTTCTAACACCTTCCAGTCCCTCCGCCCCCAGCCGAGCCGCCAGCGCCGCGGCACACGCGGCCCGTGCCGCTGTCCACCGGCTCAAAGCGACCGGGCCGAAGCGTCGGAGGAGCGACACCCTCCTCCAGGAAGCGCCAGCAGCTGTATCCTCCGAGCGCATCGAGGCGAGCGCGGTGTCACACCACCAGCGCTTCGGGGGCTGTCCCACCCTCTGCACGAAATGGGCGTCACTGGAGGCCGGGATCTGCGATGACGCAGGATCTGCGGAATTGAATGGTTTGGTGCGGGGTCTCCGTCCCATTTGTTTGTAGACATTGTCGACGATTGCCTAATGTTGGATCC